GCCCCCCTCAGCCCGGCCTTAGCGGCGGCGGCGCGGCCTCCGCTCACAGCGCGGCCCGGCGGGATGGCGGCGGCGGCGGAGCGCGGCCGCGATGGCAGCTGCCACTTCCAGCGATCCCGGCTCATCTGGATGGTCGCCATCATCTTCGGCATGGTCCTCCTCGGCGTAAGGAGCGGCGCGGGGAGGGAGGGAGATCGGTCGGGAACCGCGGGGTGCGTGGAACAGGTTCCGTGCACCGGCCCCGTGTCCGCGGAAACGCCGCTCCCGAAAATAAACGGGGAGAAAAAGGAAACTGGAGGTGCTGCTTTGGCCAGGCAGGGAGGAGGCTGGACGGAGCCATGCAGGAAGGCCAGAGTGAGGGAGAAGGCAGTTGATCCGCGAAGGGAAGCGAGGCCGTGGCGCTGGAGCCGTCCCGGGCCCGGTCAGAGCATCCCGGGGCGCGGCACCGAGCCAGGGTTTGCGGGGCAGTGCCCTGGGAAAGGGGCTGCAGCATTCCCGGCGCTGGGAGGCGAGGCACTGAGCATCAGCGCAGCCCGATCCGGGACAGCTGTGGGCATGTCAGTCCGTAAGGTGCATTTACAGGCTGTACGAACTGCTGGCGTTGGAAAACACACGAGTTCAGTCACCACGTTGTATTAATTTCCAAAACCAGACTTCAGCTAAATTAGGTTGGATTACTGGAGCAGGGATATTAATGGCTTTTTGATGTATCTGACCAGTTTATGAAAGTCGTCTCTTGACTTCAACTCACGTTGCGATTTTCTGTTTGCACAGATTTTCTAAACTTAAGAATCACCACTGTAAAAATGATAGTCGAGGCACGTCAAGTCACTCACAAAACAGAGTGAGCTTTAAGCAGATTCCCTGTTTAAACCCATCACTTGCCGCTTCTTTGGCATAGCTAAATTTACATCTAGTGAGAAACTGCAGTGTTGATAGCAGAAGCAAGATAAAGCAGGGTGAACTTTGGCCTAGCTTACCGTAGTCCCCAATGGCCTCTGAAGTGCACAGCTCATCGCTCACTGCCTGCTTCTCCTCCTGGCTTGTGAAGACCAGGGTGCACAGTGCTAAGCACTGCGGACAGCTCTGTGACAGGAAAGAAACCAGGAAAGAAATTCTGCATCTCTAGTCTTGGGATTCGTGCTCAGTTTTCTTCTGCACCCTGTTAAAAATAAACAAAAATCTGACATTTCCTTTTTTAGGGGATGAAAGAAGAAAGACTAATCCCCTAGTTTTAGATAGTTACTCCTCCTAAACAAACTTCATTGTTTGGCCTCCTCAGGTCACTTGCCTCAGATTAACTTCTTCAGGACAAAGACAATGTAGGTTTTGCAGCTTCCATGTCTAATAGGTAATGAGCTTACAACTTAACTACCACTTAATGTGCAGATGCACTCTTGGTCCCCAGACAGCAACCTTAAACTTATCCCCTTGGCATCTGGTATGTCAAGGAATAAAAATTTCCTAGTTGGAATCTTTCAAAGGCTACTGGAAGAATATGGTCCTTGGACAAGGTTAATGGAATGAAAGAATTTAAGTACTATGAATAAATGAGCTCTGAACTCATAGGGCTCAAACATAAATCTATTTTGAAGGTTAAATTGATAGTACCTCTACCTTGAAGTAAGATAACTTTTTTTTTTTTTTTTTTTCCAGTGGGTAACACTTTGGCCTTCAACTATACCTTATAGTTACTTGGGATTATTTGGTACCTTCCTTAATTATTTGGTGGAACACCACCACAAATGGGTATGCTACGGGTAAGTTATATTTGACTGTGTAATTATTTTGCCTCTCTCTGACTCTTATACTTAGTCTGTGTTAACAAGCTTTCCTGTAACCCAGTTGTTAATTAGATTTAAAGAGCTCTCCTTTCAAGCTCATTACAATTAAGGGTGTGGGGTATAAGTATGTAGAGGACTAGACAGGCTAAGACCAGTTTGATAGTTTAAAAATTCAACTTTGAATTTGGCATACTGATGGTTTAACAAGAAAGGGAAAAATGTTGAGATACTACTTTTGATGACAGTTATTAGTCCAAAGGTATGCTTGTACCATCTACTGCAAGTGTGTTTCTTCTCTAGTTGTTACTCAGGCAGTCTGGTTCTTTCTTTAGGAATCTTTTTTATCCAGCTTGAATTCAAGAACATTTTCTTCCCTGGTACTCACTTCTCCTGATCTACCTGAGAAATAACGTGCTGAACAAAGTGCATAGTGCTAAGTTTTGCTGGGTTGCAAAACTTAGTTTTTGCTACTGTAATTAACAAAAGAGCCAGAAAATATTTCCTTGAGCTCGCTGACTTCCTGTAAAGACAGAAATCAGTAGGGCTTTCTTGTTTATTTTACCATGTATCATGCAGAAGCAGAACCTTCGTATTTTCTTAGAGCATCTTTTGCTTTAGCAAAGTATTGAATTGATTCTAACTGAATATCCTGTCTTTTTTTTTTCCTACAAAAGCTTCTGTATAAAAATTTGTAGGCCAAGTATGGCTTATCAAGCCACATTTTATATTCTGAATGTATACACACAGTTGTTTTCATAGAACTAAATCTGTAAAAACGTAAGTAGCTCTTTAGGACCACTAAAAATACTTGTGTAAGTAAAAGGATAGATTTTGCATGCTTAACTAAGATTAACTTGTACTGCTTTCACTAAGCGTTTGGCTTTTTGGCTTAATCTAAATGCTGAAAATTTTGGAAGCCTAGTGGATGCTCCAAATAGCAGGTCAAGGCTTATTGCACAAGTTACAGTTGCTCTGATTTTCTCAGTGGGCTTCAGTTTCTTTTTAGTGTACACTTGTGGGGTTTTTTCAAGATGAAAAACACCCCTTCCTTTCTAGGTTAAAATCAGTTGTCGCTTCAGTGCTTCCAGATTTATATTCTCTGCATAATGCATCTTGGATACAACAGTTACTCCCTAATTTTCAGCAAAATAAACCATGTTTTCTTTCCACCAGGTTCTGGGTATCCTGGTTGATTCACATAGTGGAGGCCCTCTACGGTATTAAGTTATGCCAGTAAGTTGTTTCCTCCTCTCACTCCAACATAGGTTCTCTGCAAAGGATTTGAGTCAAGTAACATAAGCTACAGACTGATTGTGGTGGCTCTCAGCAGCAGTGAATTCAGAGGATGCTGGTGAAATTCTTGCTGCAGTGATAGTTTGCTGTTGGTTGCTGCCAGTTCTCCCAGTGGTTACTGCTGTGCAGGGCAGCAAAACCAAGGGCTGGCAACTTGCAGAAGTGGCAGCAGCAAGGTTCACCAGAGCTTGTCTGGCAGCCTCTGAACTCCCTGTTCACTGGGTAACACTGCTGCTCAGGAGGCAGAGGGAACAGTAGACAGTGTAGAAATAGTCTGATAACTTCAGGTGTTAGAATTTTATCAGATGTTACTTCATCAGGGTTGCAATACTGCTAATTACACGCTTAAACAATCGCACTTGTATTGTGGGAACACAACTGGGCACTTTCATCTGGGGACTCTTTCTGATCTACTTGCATCTGCAGGTCCCTGGGATAAAATACTTGAACTAGTCATACAAGCAAGGCCATCTAAGTGCTAGGTTAGGATAACAATGTGCCTGGAAAGGAGTGCTGTCCAAACACATCATCCTTCTGTAGGTTCTCATTAGGTTCTCATGCTCTGCAGAGTCAGGCCAGTCTGGCCACAGCCAGGCCAGTCTGTTTCCCATGATGGGTTTCCACTTCATTTGGGTCTTCACTGCTGTCTGTCCCAGGCTTCTCAGGTAACAGCTCTTGGAAGCAACAGGGTTTTGTTTCATGGAATGCTGCATAAGTTGGTTTGGTTTCTTTTTAAAAATAGTAGAATATGGATTAATAATTTCTGCCTTCAGCATGAGAGTTAGTAAAAATTTAGTGTTTATCAGACTCTCATTTTGAGTCTGAGTGTGCAAATAAATGGGTATCTGGGCCTAAGGCAATTCTTTTAAGTATGAGGAAACTTGACTACCAGTGAGCATACCAAATGAGTGTATTGTAATTAATTTTACTAATGAAGTTTTACAGAGTAGTGTTACAACCCACCAAAAAAAAAATAAAAAGCAGAGGTGGCCTGCCCGTGATCATGTCGTCAGGAGTGCTGCTTAGATTACCTAACAGTTGTACTTCTGCGAGCACCAAACACCATTTATTTTTACTTCTGTAAAAGTTATGTCTACTTGGCAACATTACAAAGGAGGCACAAAGAACACTGTGAGGACTCAGATACAAATTTGTTAATCAGCAGTAGTATTGTCATTGGCTCTTGGCCCGTATTCTGCACATGGTCTATTCATTAAGCTTGTCTTGTAGCAACAGGTAAATTTCTTAAGCCCTTGTTCTCCAGGTTTTGAAGACACTACAGCTGGGATTATAAACAAAAAAACCACAGCTATGGTATTGTTTACAGGAAATGTGAAACCCTTTGGGTTTGCTGTTGTGTTTATACTTGTTCCTTTCAGTAGGAGTACTTCTCAAGAACCATGGAGGAGAAAATGACATTTTCTGTAACATACAGAAAAAGTCATGTATCTTATATTGAAACTAACTAGCATAGGAAGGTCTCTTCTTCATAAATTAAGTGAAGTGCCTTCAGCCCTATTACCTGTCTTTGACTAGCCACAAACTCAGGAATCAATGTTTCTCCATGCTCCATCACACAGTCATTGTCAGGTCTCTGCCCTGCCAGCATAAAGTCTTCCTTGACTAACACAGCAAGAAATTATATTCAGACTTGTGTACTAAGACCAGTATTAAGCTACT